TTGGGGCTGCAGGATCTGCACCAGGGCCTCCTGCAGGGCCTGCTTCACCGTGGAGGTCACCGCTGCAGGAGGAGGAGGAGGTGGGTGGGAGGAAGCAGCAGGCCCGGGGCACCTCGTGGGAGGAGGGAGACTTACTGGTGAAGGTGCCCATCACTTTCCCTTCCAGCTTCTTGGCCACCGACTCGCAGAGCTGGACGGCGATCTCGGCGGCCACGTTTTTAGCTTGGAGGAAGAGATGGAGGTCATCAAGAGATGGAGGTCATCAAGAGATGGAGTCTGATCGAGGGGGAGGAACCCCACCAGAGGAGACCGTTGCCCACCCCTGTCCCCTTTTGAGGTGAGTCAGGAACCCACCGTGGTTCCTATGGGGGAGGACGGCCCAAACCACGTGTCCCCAGCACCGTGTCCCACCCTCAGACTGCTCCCCTCCCAGACATACCAATCAAATGATCCTTCATCTTCTCCAGGACGGGGTCCATGTCCTCCCTGGTCAAGCTCTTGGAGCCCACCAGACCTTTGAGCATGCCAAACATGCCCCCCAGGCCACCCTTCTTCGTGCTGTGGAGAAGCAGAGAGACCTTCGGGCAGGAGGAGCGAGTCACGTCGGGCACGTGCAAGAAGATCCCACCAGTTTGACCCCACCACGTTCCTGGTTAGACTGGGAGAGGAGTTATGGGAGAGAAACCAAGAAGGAGGTGGGCTGGAGAAGCCTCTACCTGGTTTTGGAAGGGTTCTGAACAACCTTCTCCTCTTCAACTTCATCATCACTCTCGTACTCGAGGTCGTAGAGGCGGCCGGGCTCCCGATTCCGGTCCCCCAGGGCCTGGGAGGGGGAGAGGAGACCTTCCATGAGAATGGGCAACCACTTCTCATCATCTCCAGAGCTCCTTCTCCCCACGGGAAGCAGCCCTGACCCCACCAGAATCCCCCCTGACCCCACCAGAAGCCCCTTGAAGCTGCCACGGCGCAGCAAAGACCCCTCAGGGAGCAGCTTCCTGGGCGAGGTGCCACCACCCTGGTTCCTCCTGGAGCCCAGGCCCAGCAGATCCCCCCCAAACATCTCACCAGGTCGTGGTCAAACTCCTCCACGGGACAAGCCTCAGTGCTGCCATTGGTGGCAGAGTTGCTGTAATCCAGGACTTTGGCGTTGGAGTTCCCCAGGTCCCACACTCGGGGCTTCTTCCCCTTCTCCTTCTGAGCCTCAGGTTTTGGGGATCTGCTCAACCCCCCCAAAAAAAAACATCTGGTTGAGCTGCGTGGACCAACCTGCTCCAAAAGCATCAAAAGTCCAAGCCTGGATTACCCAAAAAGGCAGAAATTGAGGTTCAACCCAACAGGTTCCATCTCCAGAGGTGGTTTATCTGAACTTGAGCCCCGTGTCAAACGTGGGCTTTGACCACAGCAGGAGAAGCTCCCCAGAAAGAGGCCTGGACCTCACCCAGCCCCACGCTGGGTTTTGGGGTCTCCCCAGAAGCCCTGTGGGCCCCCTCCCAATCCTTCCATCAAGAGGAGAAAGAAGGAAAAGGGGCAGTAAGGTCCACATCTGCCTTCTAAGGGCCACCAAAGGAAGGAGAGACTCAACCCTGGTTGAGGGACACCAGGAGGAGCTGGTTTGGAGCACAGGACCACGTCCTCTTCACCCACCTGGATTTCTCCCCAGCTTTCATGTGTCTCTTGAAGAATTCCTCCCTGTTCTTCTGCAGGATCTCATCCTTGGTCAGCTCCTCCCTGTCCCCAGCTGCCAGGGGCTGCTTCTCACCCACGGCCGCTTTGCCAGGTGCCACCACAGCTTCAGATCCTGGTGGAGAGAACCCCCGAGGTGACCTCAGAGCAACGTTGGGGTGCCACCAAAGAACTTGGGACACCTCAGGGTGACACGCAGAACTCCACAATTCCTACTCCCCACCACCTCCAAGGGCTGATTTCCTCCAGATCCTCCTCCCCAAATCCACTCACCTTCTTTTTTGGAACCTTTGTTCTTCTTGGTCTTGACCTTCTCCTTTGGTTTCTCCCCCCGGGTTTCTATCATACACTTGACAGTCTTCTGAGACTTCAGAGACTGCTCAAACGTCTTCATCACCGTGGGAGCTCGGACCCTGCTGCTCTCCTCTGCGTCCCTGCGGGTGGCCAAGGGAGGAAAAACCTCTGATCCACCACCCCAACCCGACCCCTTGGACAAAACCACCCCCCAAAACCACGTCCTGCTACCGGAGGAGACGCAGGAAGTCCTCCTTGAAGTCGAAGGTGCCATTTAGGAGGCCCAGGGTGCCCTTCTGCTGGAACTCATTGCGGTACTTGTCCCGGAACTCCTTGTGGACGTCGTCTATCAACTTGTCCACGTAGGTCAGAGTCAAGATCTTCTGAAAACCCACCTGTAAAAGCCACGTGGAGAGGAGACGTCGCTGGCCGGAACCTCCTCGCCAAGCCCGGGAGCCTCCACCACGTCTTCAGTGGTAGGATCATGAAGGTTGGAGGTCTCCAAGCCCAACCATCAACCCAACACTTCTCGTGGCCACCGAGCCGTGTCCTCCAGCGCCACATCAACACGTCTGCTGAGCTCCTCCAGGGGTGAGGAGTCCACCCCCCTCCCTGGGCAGCCTGTCCCACCACGCTGCCACTGAGGAAATCTCTCCTCAGGTCCAACCTAAACCTCCTCTGGTGATACCTTCAGCCACCTCCCAACCCCCCACCCCACCCCAAAGTTTCACTTACCACAAACACCAGCTCAAACTGGTTGTCCAGTTTGTACTTAAGCGTGAGGGCCTCATGGGTGAAGGAGTTGTTGCCACCTCGCTCCTAAGGGGAGAGGAACCATCAGGATGGGGCCCAGCACCCTGTACAGGTGACCCACCAGGTGGTCCCATCCTTCCTCCCAAAAACAGGATGGTGGCCCCCTCGACACCTCCCCCTTCCCCAAGCAGAGGGTACCTTCCATTTCCCCTCCCAAAGGGTCCCCACTCTTCAGGTGCCAACAGCTGCCCCCTCAGGTCCTAACCTGCCCCCAAACCTTGGGCAGGTGGTTCCAACCACCCCATCTTCAGCGGGAGAAGGTCCCAACAGCTTCCAAACCATGGGCAGAGGGTCCCAACTGCTCCCCCACATCAGACACATGGTCCCAGCCGCTCTCCCATCTCAGGTGTAAGGTCCCAACCACCCCATCTGCAGCGGGAGAAGGTCCCAACAGCTTCCAAACCATGGGCAGAGGGTCCCAACCTCTCCCTCACCACAGGCAGATGGTCCCAGCTGCTCTCCCATCTCAGGTGTAAGGTCCCAACCACCCCATCTCCAGAGGCAGAAGGTCCCAACAGCTCCCAAACCCCAGGCAGATGGTCCCAGCTGTCACCACGCCTCAGGTACACGGTCCCAACAGCACCCTCACCACAGGGAGGTGTCCCCAACCCTTCTCCCCCCTCAGGCAGGTGTCCCCAACCCC